CATTCATTCATACATTCATCTATTAATTAATCCATCCATCCATTCATCCCTCCTTTAGTCCATCTGTGAACGCCTTCCTCCCTCCATCCATATTCTCTCCATCAACAAACTCATCAATGTTTCATTGGCCACATTTCTATTTGATGATTTAATTCATCTTGACCAACACCCACAGAGCTGATGATGGTGATAATGATGATGGTGATGAAGGGGATGATGATGACGATCAAAAGCTGATGATGAAGAAGAGGGTGATGACAGTGACGAGGATGATGATGAGGAGGAGAAGAAAGAGGATGATGATGATGATGATGATGATGATTACGACGGTAAGGACAATGATGTTGATGATTGATGATAATTGCTGACGATGATGATAATAATAATAATTATAGCAATAATAATAATGATGATGACAACAACGATGATGATGGTGATGATGATGATGATGATGACAACGACAACGTTAAAAGGACAAATGAGATGACGAGCCTGATGACTAGAAGACCCTCCAGACCCAAACGATTGTGGTTTTTAGTAGGATTTTTCATCAGAACTCTTTTCTACAATTAAGTTAATGGACGCTGACCTTAAAATTTTGTACTTCACAATTCTACGTTTTACACAAATTAATGAAAAAAATATGCACACACGCGCACGCACACACACACACACATGCACACACACACACACACATGCGCGCGCGCACATTTATCAACATGCGTGAATACTAACCCGTGTGAAAATGTTTTTAAATAATTAAACGATAATCAAATGTCGGAAAACAGAAATGAGTAAATAATATTTAGCAGAGAGCATTTAATTGAAAATTGTTTCAAACGATTTTTCCCAAAGAATAGTGAATAGACTGACTAAACAACATTAAAAAATGTTAATTTTTTGTTAAACGTCTGCTGAATTCATCCAAATGAATCTATGTGAACCTGAAAAAACTTTTTGTGCACCCTCTTAAAGAAGTACATGCAACCTCTTATTAGAAGACAAAATATTTTTTATTGAACAGGTGACCGCACATCAACATGAAGCAAGCTCAATGAAAACTGTAGACCAGTTAAAAATATCATTCTTATTCTCTGTTGACACTGATTTCCATTCTGTTCCGGACACACCACATGAAAATAACATCTAATGCACACATTACAACATCGACCCATCAGTGAACGCATACATCCACGTGTAAGAACACATTTGATCACACATAAAAAATGCAAATGTACTCAGCATGTACACACACACGCACGTGCACACTCACACAGGCGCACGCACGCACACACACACACACACAGGAACACAATAACACACAGTGGAGAAATATTTTGGCATCAAATTACAGTGTTAAATTAGAAGCAATCATCACCTCATTCAACCAATCTGCCATGTTTCACATCTTTGCTCTTCTTTTCTGATATTCTGCATATGTGTGTGCTAGCAACGTGTGCGTGCGTCTGTATGTATGTAAATGTGCGTGCGGTGCAAACACGTGTCCGTGTGTAAAATACATTCGTGCGTGTGTGTGTGTGTACATGTATGCGTGTGTATGTGAAGGCTGTTGCTTGATGATGGATAATGATGCATCTTTTTTGCCGAGCAAGTTACGCCGGAGAGCTTCACGCGAGGTTTACAACGCCCTGGTGACGTTTCAATCTGTACTCTATGACATTCATTGGATTATAATACATTTTAGGATATATATTTTTAATTTATTTTATATTATTCGCAGGTTTAGACTTTACATTTGCTTTACACTTTCTTGTTTTCTTTTCCACCAGCCAGATGAGAAACAATTTTTCAAAATAGGAATTGTATTTGTTGCGCTGTGCACTGGAATGCAGGCGTGCCATCAACGGCGTGGCACAGAAGGTTTGTATTTTGAAACCAATTTTCAGTTCCAAAATTTAAAGTTTTTTTCAGTGTTTCTTTTTTAATAGATTGAAAACAACAAAACAAAACAAACATCAAAAGAACGAACGAACGAACAAACGAATAAACGAATAAATGAATAAAAAACAGACAGACAGGCAAACACCGAAACAGCCAACCAAACAAACAAACAACAACCCACATAGTCGCCTATGACCCTTCTTAATGCTCCTATGATTGAAGAGGACCACGAGTCGTGCAATTCATTTAATCGCTTCATTTATTCATCTAATTATTTTCAGCTCAGTTTGTCACCACATTCGTAACGACAATATATGTCTTACTTATTTCAATTTCCATTTTAATGTAACATACTCCCAGCGTATTAATAATACACATAAGCAAAGCACTTAATTCAACACACACAACTAACTCACACACAAAACACAAACACAACACACATGCACACACACATGCACGTATATATAGAAAGAAAAAGAGAGAGAGAAAGAAAGGTAGATAGAGAGAGAGAGAGAGAGAGAGAGAGAGAGAGAGAGAGAGAGAGAGAGAGAGAAGAAAGAGAGAGAGGAAGAGAGTGGAAAAAATGTATGTGTGTTTATCTACATATGTGTCACGCGTCTGTCAGATGAAAATCTGTGTTGATGAATTTGTGAGTCGAAAATCAGCGCCATAATTTTTAAGTCAACTAAATTTCGTTTCATTGTAACGTAACATTAGTTAACTGTAATTGTAAAGTTAACATTACAAATGTAAATGTTTGTAACATTACATTTAACATTGTAACGTTTCAAATGAAAGTATATGTAACATTTCAAATGTTTGAATATAAAGATTTTATGAAAATTAAAAACCACGCGACACTAGCAACGACAACCGACAATTTAATTTCTTACACGAGCACACACACACATATGCACACGCACACCCACACGCACGTACACACACACATACGCACGCACACACACAGTGACACACGGCAACAAAGAAGGGAGAACCAATGAGATGAAAGGTTGAAGTAGCAAGATGGGTATGGAGGGATCGATCTGATGGATGTAAGCGGATAAATGGATGAATAGATGGTTGAGTGAATGAATGGATGAATGAATGAATGCAGTAGATGTACATATTAAAAATAACTGGCTCGTGTTACCTACCGAATTTCAGATTATAAACACGTCGTAATTATTGTGAGCTTTCATTTTACAAAATTTTATTTCTTCAAACTCGATAATTGCACCGAGTAACTGTTAACTACCGGATAGAATTTTCTAGAAAATATGTTGTATGTTGTTGTATGAAAATATGTTGTTGTGCAAACGGTATGTTAAAGTTGCATCGCTTGTTGCGTGGATGCTGTTTCAATGTGCAGTGTGGCGGTTGATGTGTGCTTTAAATGTGTTGTTGGTTGTGTTTGAGGTTGATGTTGACTCATTTGTTGAGTGAGCTTGTGTGACCTGCTGGCTGTTGAAGTCATAATGACGAGACTGGTTTCCCTTTGATACACATCACCATATCAACACACTAACACATTACCACATTACCAAATCATCACACTACCACGTCATCACATTACCATATCATCGCGAGATCATCTTCACCATCTATGATTGTTCTAATTGCAGAGGAAACAAGTTTAAGTTACAATGACATGAAAAGAATGAACCCTTTTTAAATATTCTAACAAAGAAACTTTAATAAACAAATCTCTATTTTTGTATTATTCATATTTAAAGTCAAATTATCTACAATTTTTAAAAATTTCTCATTTAAAATTTTGCTAAAAAATGTTTGAAACGAATTTAAGAATAAAAATACAAACAAACAAAACACTGAATGAATGTTATTAACTATACAACTCTACAAATGTTGGTAGCAAATAATAATTAGCTCATAATATTAAAAAGAATTGAAGCAATAAATTGTCTAAGAAAATATAACAACCCATCTTCCGAATTGACCACAACCATTTACTGAATCATTTTGCAAAATCGTGCAACAAAATTGAGGCAGTATAATTTAAGGTAAACCATAAAACAAGATAGGTTTTTAAAATTCAACAAAGCCATTCAATGGAATCACGTGGCAAAACCATGCAAAAAAATTATTTGTGTGTAATCGTAAAAAATTACACAAATTAGCAGACGTCAAAATAGTATTAATTAAAATTACCAGTTAAAAGCGCGGGTGATCACATTTGAAGGAAGGCGGAAAAATATCGTAAGATCTACATTATAATAACTGGCCAAACGTGCTTCATAAAAAATAAATATACACATTCTAAAAATAGCCTTGCGTTCTAAAAATAGCATACCTTCTAAAAATAACCTTATAAATGTTACATCATTGTTGTTAGTGGATGTTGTATGTATAGACATCACTTATCAGGCTTAAAACAATAATCTGAAGTATGGAAAGTCGAAAAAATGATAAAATAACACACACATTCTGCCATCTCTAGAAATTAATATTTAAATTAATTTTGGATGGTTTGGTGGTGGAAAGACATTTCCCGATCCAACTGCAAGTTTTTACTTGGAAATTATGACGATGATGGTAGTGGTGGCACTGATGATTAATATTTGTCTTCTAAATAAACAACGTATAGTATTGTATTTTAAGGATGATGATGATGATGAAGTGATGATGATGATGATTACAAACTAATGTTATTGCTGTTGTTGTTGTAGTTGTTGTTGTTGTAGCAGCTACAAACTATTAAAGACACTTATAAATGAATATTTGTTGTTCAGCTTAACGTGGATGTTGGTATGGAATGTTAGTTGTGGTTGCGTTGTAGCCACTATGTTATTGTCATCATTGCCAAAAATGTTATTGTAATTGACGTCTTAATTGTTGTTGTCGTGTCTTTTAAACTGTTGTTATAGTTGTTGTTTTAACTGCTGTCTTTATTGATATCGCAACTGTTGTTGCAACTGTTGCTTTGGTTGTTGTTGCAATTGTTGTTGTAGCTGTTGTCATAATTGTTGTTTATATCACAGACAAGGCTGGTTGATAGCTTACTCGTTAATGAGTATGATGAAGGTGATGGTGATGACGATGAAGGCAATGAAAGTGAGGCAGGCACTTGTGATTTATTATCAAAGAATGTTGTTGATGATGATGATGATGTTGTAGCCACTGGTGAGGATGATGATGATGATGATATTGCTAATGATGTCGATGATGATAGTGATGTTGCAGATGATGATGGTGGAGATATCTCCGTGGAAGATGATGTTGTGGTTGTTGTTGATGATGACGATGATGCAGATGACGATGATGGTGATGACGATAGTGATGACGGGCTGGTGTTCTGGACAGGAACGACTGACGATTTAGAGAAAGAAACTCTAAGATGAGTGGTCTCGGCCAGCTGGTAGTTGTGCATGGCCTGCAAATCATGTGGTCAGTGAGTGAGTGAATGAGTGAATGTGCGGGTTACAGTTACAAGTTGTGATAATAACGTTGAAATTGAAAACGACGGTGTCATTGATGATAATCATGACAAATTATGAACGCAAGTCAAGACTAATAAGTTCACATCTATCATAAAATTATCTAACATAAAATTATAAAAAAGTTAATCTGCATAAGTGAAAATGAATAAAAGTACGTATGGATGTATGAGCAAGACAAAATTACAACACACGATGTTCAGTTCAGATGAAAGACGTTCAGTCATCCTCTTTCTTTATAGGTGGCTCAACGTCGCTTCGACTGGTACTGCCAGCCACACTTAAACGCTTAATCACCAGCGTTTACGTATATAGATAGAGTATATAACACACACACCACACAAGCACACACATAAATATGGTACTTTATTATATTAAAATTGAGTTGCTGAATTAGTACGGCATCTTTTCAAGTGTGCTGACTTCAGAAGTGCATGTACCTACGTTGTGTGTATGTGAGTGTTTCCGTGTAACGCACGAACACCTGCACACGTACTTCATATTCACCCAGCAGATCTCTAATTGTTTCTCGAGTGATCACACACGCACACACACACACACAAGAAATAGCAACAGAGATATTTAAGGTTGATGAAAAAATAGTACGAAGGAGAGAGATGATGTCGATGAGACTTATGTAGCGCCTATGTTTTTATCGTTCAGACATTTTTCGACTGGTTTGATTTATTTGCTGGATGAAGGATGCTGCGTTGAGATACATGGAGGATGAATGGATGGATCGAGATACATGCTCCTCCTATATTAGCGCTACATTAATTCTAGGATTGTTATTTTTTCGTGTGTTTGTTTATATGCGTGTGTTTTATATCAACATAAATGCTATTATGCTATTACACACACAACACACACACACACACTCACACACACACACACACACACACACACATATATATATATATATATATATATATATATAAACTTTTGCCGGTAGGTACGTGGCAACAGCTTTTGAAGCCTTTGATAAGCATATAGATAAATTGTTTATAATTATCTATATCTACTATTTTTATAAAATATGAGTGTCTTTAACTTTTTAGTGCAATTTTATAAAAAACTAATTACATTCTTTCACGCAAGCTAAGTTGTTTTTGTATCAAATTCATGTAAAATATTTTTTTTTGGAGGTTGAAGTTTTGTGACAGGAATTGATGTAAACTCTCGTCATGAGTACAACACAAGTTTGTGTTAACGCTAACAAGATATGATTGATGATTGTAAAAACATGGCGAGTAATATTTTATAGTGCTCTGATTGATGGCTGGCAGACGCTGGCTAGGTCTGACCACCAGTTCATCTATCAATTGATTGCTATCTCTCTCTCTCTTTCTCTCCCTCTCTCTCTTTTTCTCCCTGTGGGATTCTGTTTGTTTCTTGTATATATGGGTGAGTTTCTGTGTTTATTTGTGTCTGTGCGTAATTCTGTGCGTCTGTGTGGTGTGACTGCATGACTTTGTATGTTTGAATGCATTGTACGATACATACATTCAGACATTAAATGTATTGATGACTGGATAATGTAAACTTATGACTCTATATATATAACTCATATAGGGAGATATGCATATTACATGCCCGTACGTGTGAATGGGTGTTTGTTGTTCTCATGATTTGGATAGGTGTGTCTATTTTGAAATCAATAAAATTTTGGCTAATGAGGAAAAACTAACCATTAGATCACTAAAAATTTACTGATGCCCATACCGTATGGTTCAATGATGCATCATAGTAATCATAGTGTAATAGATAATGAAAAATTAACACGAAAAAATAAACACACATCTACTACACACACATGCGCGCGCACACACACGCACACACGCACTCACAAACATGCACACACACACACATATATATATATATATACTTATATAGATATATATATATATATGTCATACATATCATACAAATATGTATGAAATGTAATGTGATACAATGATGCTGTAGTCAGTCGTAACGCACGTGACCGATGATTTCTTCTTGGCGGAAGTAGTTACGATTTACGATCTTTCATCGGTGAGATGGTAGTGTTTTTAGGAATTGATAAATTATTGATAATGATGCGCAATTTCGATCGTCAGCCGCTTTTGATTTAGTTCGTTATTTTAAGGTTATCTCCTTTTCGAAACATTATCCATATTTATTGCAGATCGAATCGTAGTCACTCTCCCATCCTTATCATCATCATCATCATCAACATCAACATCGTCGTCGTCGTCATCACCATCATTATTATAGCCAGCATTACCGCTATATTACCACCAATATCGTATATATCATCATTGTCGTCATCCACATCATCGTCATAGTCTTGGTTGTCATCATCATCATCATCGCCATCATCATCATCATCATCATCGCCATCATCATCATCATCATCATCATCATCGCCATCATCATCGCCATCATCATCATCATCATCGCCATCGTCATCACAACCACCACCATCATCATCAAAACTTACAATGAGGGCCAAGCAGCTTCCTCGATGGAACTCATCTGCATGAGCGCCATCTTGCAGTCCTTGTTGGCCGACACGACGTTTCTGTGGTTGTTGTGGTGGTGGTGGTAGTTGTGGTGATGATGTTGATGTTGATACTAATGATGATGTTAACGGTGATGATGATAATATTGATGATGTGGATTATATTGATGATGATGCTGATGTTGATAATGATGGTGCCGATGGCGATGATGATAATGATGATGCTGATTGGAATGATGTATATCTTATTTTACTCGAGTTGTTGGCTGTGCAACAAAAACCGCGATGAATAAAAAATGGGGCCATAGTGAGGTGAGGCGACTTGAAGAACTTACGTGAAGAACTTGAAGCCGACGACCGTTCCATGCTTGCTGAACAAGGCCACCAGTGTCTCCTTACTTGTGGACCTGTATGTTGCAAGAGGTCTGATCACTAACGGTGATAACAGTGATTGAAATGATGATGATACGGTGATGAGAATAGTGATGCAGGATGAAATAAAAAAAAAACCAAGGGGAGTGAATCCTTCCTTATAAATAATACAAAAACGCGCAAACAGCTGCGAACAGATTAAAGATAGAAACCGAACAGAACAATGAGGCCCGACGTATAAACATCGTCAAAACTCTTTATGAATGGTCAGACTGGATACTTTTTTAAAGTTCTACTCTGGTCAGTTTTATTGCACTAATTTTATTAAAAATTTTGACACCGAGTCCAGTTTCGTTACGTTTCATTTGCAACACTAACATGCATCCTTCTTAACAACTATGACGTCATCAGGAGTCTGTCGGAACTATGTTATATTAGCAAGAACCAATGAAAAACAATACAAGTTGTCAGGCATAGACCATAAAATTACAAAATATTGATAAAGAATTGAAAATTAAATTGATTACAAAAAATTAATTGAAACTGAAATTAAATTGATTCAAAAAAATTATTACGGAATGTTCGAGAGGTGGAGGGTGGCAGCTGGCGGGAAGATGTTGTTGTAGTTCTTGCTGTTGGGCTTCTTGAAGCGATGAAGTGTGGAGTTGGTGTAATCCTTCGTCAGGTTGATGTCCTGGGTGGAAGGAGGGGTGCGGTCGTCATTAATGTGATTGTTCATGTTCTACTAACACTCTCATTATCATCTTCTCCATTATTTATCACATCAATAATTAACGAGTCACCATTTTAAAAGCCCTAGAAATTGAACTATAGAATGACTAACAAACTGTCCATCCTTTGGCATTTGAACGATGGTGTGCTTGGACGGAGTGACTTTTATCACCTTGCCCCACAACTTCAACTTGTCCAGATTCAACATGGCTGCAAATGCGTCATCACATATGATGTTGTTTATTAAATGTTATTGCTGACATACATCTGCTTACTTAATTAATTTATTGCTGAACTAACAATTGTTGAATTCCAAAAATGCAAATATACGATGCTCAAAATAGTAACTTAAGAAATTATTTATTGGTAACCTAACAACATTGCATTGTATAACGTCGAATGGTACATCATCCACAATAACATCCAGGTATTGAATTAAAATATTTCAATTAAATTTTTAATTAAAATAAATTAAATAAATAACAATAATTATAATTGGACCTGTCTGAGCTTGCATGGGATCATTGAACTGGATGAGCGCTGTGTCCTTCTTGTTGAACATTATCTTCACTTTTATCACATCACCATACACTCCTGGGAGATGATGAGATGATGGTGTAATGATGACGACGATGTAATCATGATGGTGAGGGTGATGATGTCATGATGGTCATGATGATATGTCATGATGATGATGACGATATCACGATGGTGACGTCAGCATGATGTATCAGCGATGATGTTATGATAATGATGATAATGACAACGATTATGAAGGTGATGATGAAAAAAATGAACATAACATTAATGATAACAGGAATGAAAAGGATGACAACCAAAGTTACGATAAAAACAAGAAATGAAAACATATTTGTAGTTGACTTAGTGATGAAACATCTTGGGGTGACAAATCTAGGCCAAAACTTCAATAAGTTAGAACATCTCTTATATAACGGATTCATCAGCAATCTTAATCAGTTTACAAATATGTATGCATAATGGGATGCGATGAAACAAATGAGAAGGGCGAATTATACAAGGGTGAATTATACAAGGGTGAATTATAAAAGGGTGAATTATAAAAGGGTGAATTATACAAGGGTGAATTATAAAAGGGTGAATTATACAAGGGTGAATTATAATAAAATTTTACAAATCGGAAGAATAAGAAATATGAAACTGAATCAGATCATATGACAACAACAACATGAGCCGAGTTGAAGCAACTTTATATTTCGATCACTTAATATCACTTCTAGTTATTTTAAATCATTTTGAAACATTTTAAATCTTCAATGAAATTTGTGTTACACAATAGATACAGTAACATCACATGTATCGTAAAACACATACAACTGGTAAATGAGAAAAGAGTTATAAAGCAGGTTACAAACCGAACAATGTGAAAAGAGCATCTGGATTGACTTTCTGAAAGGTTGAAAATAATGTGAAAATAGGATTTAATAATGAAAAAAATAAACAACGAATGAAATTTTGTACACGGGAAATTATCTGTGTGGAAATTAGATTTTGAAAAGTCGTCTCAATGAAAATGATGCAAGAAATTGTGAAACATTTTCTAGTGAAATTTTTTTAAGTGAAGTTTAATTCAAATAACAAATACAAATTAAAAAGCTATTAAAAATATAAAGAGTCTAGCTCTGGCATGTTCTTTGTGTCCAGTTTAGACTGTTTTTAATTTGTTAAAAATGTGAAAACTAAAAATCCGCTGCACGAGTGAAATACATTGTTGACAGTTAAAATAGAGGAGGAGTGGTATTCGGTCGCATGTGAAACGAACCTCCTCGTCGAGGTTGGAGACGAGAACAACGTGGCCCACGTTGAGCAGTGCAGTCGAAGTTGCCGCCAGTATGACGCTACCACCTGCTCTTGCGCCTGTGCTGTAAACTGTGTGGTTCGTTTCGTCAAGTGTGTGTGTGTGTGTGTGTGTGTGTGTGTGTGTGGTGTGTGTGTGTGTGTGTGTGTGTGTGTGTCGTTCGTTTCGTTTCGTTCTATTCTCAATTTCATTTTTTCAATGAATCAACTTTCATATTTGAAGTCGATTTTGTAAAAGTCCATGACACTAACAAAAATTTTTAAATCCAAGTGTGAAAGAATTTTTTTTTCAAACGAATAAAATATTAAAGCACTACCATTACAATTTTAACAGAAATGAAGAAAAAAGTAAAATATGCGAACATTGTTTAGAAATGAGCTGATTGGTTGGGTTGTATGTTATGAGTGGAGGGCCGTATGCAGTAGTCAGGTAGGATGGGTCAAATGTCGCCACTGGTACTGAAACAAAAAAAAATTTTAAATAAATACCTCAAGTGAAAAATTTTGTTTTTGGTTGCAGGTGCCATATATAGGCTGCATATAAATAATTTAACAAATATTGTTTTTTAAAATCCACCAAACATAACAACATTTAAAAATTATAAATGAATAATAAATGACAAATATGAATGGAAATTTACATCTAAATGAAATAGACCAAAAAATTTTGGTTGAGTTTGTCAAAAATGATAGAAATGAATAAATGAATTGATTTGATCTGGAAATAAATCAAATTCAAATTCAAACCCATTTCAGCAACTTGGGTGGCAGGTGCTTGTATTAACGCCGTTGAAGGGGCAACAATGCTGAACTGTTGCTGAGACTGTTGCTGAGAATGTTGTTGCTGCAACTGTAGGTGTTGAAGTGATTGTAACTGCAATTGTTGTTGTTGTTGCTGCTGCTGCTGCTGAATTAATGTGTCCAGATCGATAGATGTTTGTACGTACGATAATGGTTGTGAGTTGGACTCCAACATTCTTGAGTTTTGTTGCGAGTATGAGAGGTTGTGATCTATGTCAGATAGGCTGGAATACTCAACTTTCAGTTTGTTGCAGCCTGGGAACATTGAATGTCCGTCCAACATCTGGCAATTTAATTATTTCTGTTAAGAACAATTTCAAAGTATTTCAAGTAAATTTTTTTAATCTTTTTAAACACTTCGAATAACTGGAAACATACCATCTTTGCTTTTTGCGCTTGTAATTTGGTTGCATATTGGATCAAGAGTTGACATTCACCTGGATTGTTGGTTGATTGGGACGGCATGTCGAGAGGCATTCATACAAAAACGTTCATAAAATATTATTTCAATAAACTAAAGCAGGTGGAACGTGTAGGTATAAGAACGTATTTAAATGATTCAATCACTTTCCACTTATCTGTCCCATTAATAATAAATAATTAAATGTTTTTTTACTAAACTGATTAAAATTTCATAAAAATTATTGCACAAGACCAAATTTTAAAATGTATTTAGTCAGAATTATCAACTAAGTTTTCATGTTGGTGCATGTGAATAGGCAAACTTAAATCACATCTTGGCACATATTCATCCAGTTACAAGAAATTTGAATTTCTTATTTTTATTAAGTCAAATGGAAATGAAACGTGCAACAAAAATTAATTAGAAATTAAAAGTTTAGGTGAAATGAAGAGAACATACTCAGGTTGTTGAATGTGACAATTTTCAAGATCTGTCCAAATTGGGAGAACAACTGTTTTTGGGATTTTTGTTCAGTCATTTTCATCTTATTACCAAGTTAATGTAATTTCTTAACGGCGTTCAAGACATTAATTATTAATATAATTCTTCTACACTATATCAATAAAAGATCGTATGTGATATGCAATCACGGACGCACGCACGCACACACACGCACACACACACGCATACGCACACACACATTACACAAACACAAACACTCTCACACACAAACACACACTACATAACTCAATGAAATTACCTGTTTAATTTCATCCACTGTCACTGCATACAAAACATTTTCTATGGTGACCTTCAGGACGGCCTTGACGTTATTGTTGACCTCCAATGAACGTGCAGACATCAATGACAAGTGACTGCTGTAGTTAGAAGTGCTGTCATCAAGTTTTGTAATGTTATTGTTGCTGTTGTTGCTGTTGTTAATGACGTTGTCATTTTTTGAGCTGTCGTTTGCCAGTTTCTGTAAATAATAAATACTTTTCATTTTTACCTTATAAGCAGTGAGTTTCATTCAATTAGAAATTTGTTTTTACTGAAATAATAGAAAACAGAAAAATAAATATAAATTGAGAAAAAAGAATTAGGATGAAAATTTTGAAAGTTTGAAATGTTTTCCATTGTGGTTCACCTGGCCCGGAGATGTCATTGAAAAACGTTCCTGACTTGAGTAATTGAAACGTATCACGTGACCTCGGATCATGGGTGACCTTTGCGAGTAGAAGTTCACGAGATTTGTGGCGCTGGTCAGTTGGGTCATTTCAATGAAGGCCTGGTTGACGTTGCAGATGAGGTTGTGTGTTAATGTTAAAATTTGAAAGTAACAGTAAAAATATTGTTAAAATTTAGCCCTATGTGACTTAATATAATGTATGAATATCACCAAAATGACCTGCTGTTGGTGTTTGATCAGCTGTATTTGATTGATGCTCCCAAACGGAATGCACAGCTGAATGACATCATTCTCGGTCACGTTCTGGGGAAGGTTCTTGCAGAGGAGAATTTTGTTGGGATGGTTCACGTTTGTGTCAGCCGGTTGTCCTGAGGTTGTTGTTAGTTTTGATGCTGTTGTTGCTGCTGCTGTAACAGCTGCTACATTTGTTGTGGTCGTTGTCACGTTAGAAAAGTTGATTTCTAGCTTCGGCTGTATTGGGTTGAACAAAATTCACTTGTTGAAAAATTGAAATTTGAATGTTATTTAAATTACTGATTAAATTTTTAAAAGCAATTTTATCATGTTACGGCGAAATATAAAAAATTTTGAATGAACTTTTCAGTCAATAAGGATTGATTATTCAAAAAAATAATATTACATTAAAAATTGTAAAATGCTTTAACTTTCTAAAAGTTCGGTAAAACGTTAAACCAAAAAAGTTACCCAACTAAAATGCAAGTAACACATAACAAGCAAACAGACAAGCCGACGAGCAATCAGTTATTTTTGGAAACGGCAGAAAAGAAACCTTTTTGTTATCGATGGTTGTTGATTCCCCATTGTAGAGGTTTTCATCGACCAGTTGATTGTCTTTGATTCTCTGTTTTTATGAAAATTTTATGAAATAAAATAAAATAATTAAATGAAATAATAAAGAATTAGAACATCTATTCACGTTAAATCATTTTTCCAAATATATATTTTTTTATGAATATAAACAAATGCCTTTTTGGTCTGTGTCGATGTTATGTAGGAGAGAGATGATGGTGACGGGGAGAGGGAGGAAGTTTGTTGAACAGTAAATGTTGTCTGGTATTGCATCGCCGTTTGTTGCTTCAATTGTTCGTGTAATTGAATCTGTTGTAGTTGCTGTTGTTGTAAACGTTGTAGCTGCAGCTGTTGCTGTTGTTGCTGCTGCTGCAGCGGAATAATATTTTGCTGCAAGAAAGTAAAATTCGATGGAATGTCATCAGAATCTTGAGGTAGTGCATTCAACCTAACACCAGCACACTGACTGCTGTTAGCAACAAAAAACAATTGTTGAGGTTGAATTTGTTGCTGTTGATAATGTTGTTGTTGAAGTTGCTGGTTTTTCAACATTTCTACGGGACTCAGTGGAGTCTGAAGCTGCTGAATGGGCTGAACTTGTTGCACATTTAACGGAAAGGCTGGATGGTTGATGCCAACGCCAACTCCGTAATGGCCCAAATTGTTGTTGCCAGGACTGCTGAAAAACTTCGGCGTGACATCAACAACATTGTTGCTGTTGTTGTTGTTGTTGTAGAGCTGATCAAATGGAGCGTTCAACAAAATAGCTCCAGGTTGCAGCATTTTTATTTTGGTGGTTTAAAATTATGTGCTATTTATTTATTTATTTCGTGTGGTAGTTCATGTAACTTTCCTATCATTAAACCAGGTTTGTTGTTCCAGATATAACTGCTGTGCGTGTAACTGTGTTTATGATTGAAGAAAATGAAAACAAAAAGCAATACAAAGTGAATTCTACAATTCTAATAGTTTTAAATTTACTTACAAGAATTAAAAATTAATTATGCGACCGTTGGAGAGATTCATCTCAGATTCGTACAGTATCAAACACATTCTGGGCATCTATGATTGACAGAAGAAACATTGTGCTTGCGTAGTTGAGCGGCTTGAAAGACAAAACGAATCTACAGCACACAAAAAAGTAACGAGTGACACGTTAAAAAGATCAGCCGTGGAGTATGTAGGATCCCAATTGACAGCATAAAAGAAACAGATCAAAGATGCTGCTTAACATTCGTTAACTTCACATGCACATCAAATGATAAAAAAACTTTTATATTTTAAAAACATAAAACTTATTGTACATAAAACATTTTGTACTCTAAAAACGCCCGCGTATGTTAGTTATAAATGTTTTTACACTCCTACAGAGCAGAGAAATTAATGAATAATTAAAAGTTTCATACATCCTATAACGTATCTGTTATTTATGCACACATACACACACACACACACACATTATATATATATATATATATATATATATATATATATATATATAACATTTAATACAAATTATGAAGCCTTATACATACAGTGTTGTTGTATCTGACGACAAAAAATATCATGGTATTACAAACAGCCCATTTTTCATTATTATATCGAATGGAAATTTAAAATAACTAACTTGTTGGAATAGTTTTTATGTAGCGATACATACACCAGAATATAATTGATCAGTTTCAACGATCAGTCAATTCTAATTAACCCTATAGTATAAAAAAGGAATTAGAAATGAATGATAGCTTTTTTAGTTTTTTAGTTAGTTAAAGTTAAACAATCATTTTAAAAGATCATAGAATATTTATTCAAATTGCACTTAACTGACACTTGTACATTTAATTTAATAACATACTAAATAACTATAAACAACAGTAGCAGGAACACAGTGTGAACGTAGAGTAGATGTAAACATGTATACAATACAATTACAATACTTGCTGAGATAGATAGGATTATTATAAGCTGGCCAAAGCACGTAGCAACTGAATAAATGCATGCATGACAGTGTCACAATGGATCGAAGTCGTTCATTCGTTCATTTTGTTTGTTTGCTGATCAATCCATATATACATATATACAATACAAAGAGAGAGAGAAAGAGAGAGAGAGAGAAAGAGAGATATTTAAAATGAGACTGTATTGTTTATATATGCAGGTACGTGTTTATATTCATTCATATACATGATTCAACATAAATACATCCAGGTAAGTACGTACAATATATATATATATATATATATATATATATATATATATATATATATATATATATGCAACCTTTTGCAACAGTCGCATGCAAACAATTGTTATGAACGGTGAATTCTTCGAATTCGTAATACTCATAGAAAATAAATTCATAAACACATATGCACGTTTAAGTATGAAAAAATTAAATATATGTACGTGTAACACACATACACACTCACACACGCACAAAACACACACACACACAGGCGTACAACAATTATGACGGGTTCACATGGATAAACAGCAACAATAATAACGAAGACGATTAAATGTAATTATGTGCTTGCCGGGCAGGCAAATTGTTTCATATCATCACTCTTTCTCTCTCTCCTTCTCACTCTCCTCTCTCTCTTTCCCTTTCTCTCTCTCTCTTTTTCTCTTTGTATCTCTCCATCCTTAATTATTTTCTATCTTGTTTCTTTATTCTATATAGTTCTGTCCTTAAAACGGCCCTTCATTTTTCAATCATACTTCATCTTCGTAATAAGGTTCATTCATTACTCACATAGGCATTATTTACTTACTTTATTGTTATTATTTGATCAATGCATGCTGTAAACAACATCCAAGATAATGTTTAAATAGGAGCAAACGAATAACTTTACAAACATGCACGCACGCGCACAAAAGCAAACTCACACGCACATTCAAACACACACACGCACATACAAACACACATACACACACACACACACATCTAATTGCAATATTGATGTTTTGGGGCAATGTGCTTTACATAAATAATAATGCAAAAAAAATTAGGTAGGTAGATGGATATCATTGGCTTGAATGACAATTATTGTTGAAAATAACATATTAGTGAGAGACAAAAGACACCAACACCTAAATTTAGCAATACGTGGTTTAATGTAATGTAATGTAATAACGAGCATCATCAAATTATGGTGTGAACTGATACATTAAAATGATGATGACGACAATGATGGTGTCAGTTGTAATGCTAGATGATAAGGATGATGATAATGAGAATGATTTTCATAATGGTAATGATGACGATGATGATGAGGAGGAGAAGGATGATAATGAAGATGATGACGACGTTGATGGATGACGTCGACGATGATGAGGATGATGATGATGACTATGATGATGATGAGGATGATGATGATGACTATGATGATGATGAGGATGATGATGATGACTATGATGATGATGAGGACGATGATGAGGATGAGGATGATGACTATGATGATGATGAGGACGATGATGAGGATGATGATGATGACTATGATAACAATGGTCCTGGTTATGATAGACAACATGGCGGAAAAGAAACCTGAACGTTAGTTTGTGAAGTAAGAAAGAAAGAATCAACGGTTTGAAAGAGCAAAAACTGGTTGAACGAAAGATGGTTTTTGTTTGTGCAAGTAGTCTAACATTAAAACGATGATGATAATGATAATGATGATGTTGTTGTTGATGTTTTTGTTGATGATGTTGGTGTTCTTGATGATGTTGTTGTTGATGATGATAATGATGATTACAAAAAAACTCTGAATGAAAAAATGTGTTACGGTACTGTCTTATAGAATTAGAGATTTGAACGCATTAAATATCACATGCTAGTATCATACGTTTATGTCCAATCAACATTAAAACTTTGGAATTCCTCAAGTAAGACTGCCAACATGGGTAAGAGGTTAACTTTTCACCAATGAATAAATCATGAACATCACCACGTTTATCCCCAAAACAAATATCAAAATGTCTTTCAAATTCAGAAGCTTGCTTTGACGGTTCCAATTTAAATTTTTTTTTCAAAAACTTTATTTGAATTTTAGCAGCAGCGTTTGAAACTAAATGTACTGTTACTCTATATCCAAACATTTTTTAAGTTATAGGGTTGTATTATGAATAAAGTTTCGTTGTTGTTGAAGTTGAAACCAATAATAATATTACCACTATGGGAAAGAGAATTTTTGAAACGACGTCAAACGATTAATATTAGTAGTGATGTTTCGTTGGATTGCAACATTCAATCAAAGCAACAATCTTTAAAAATTCAAAAAAAAACATTCACAATCTGACCTCTTAAATTATTTTCCGCGGTTGTCATCAAATTTATATCCAACATTACATCACCTCTGTATCTGTATACAAATATGAAGATATTTTAATATGACAACAACTAAACAGACCAACTGTATTAATAAAAAATATAATAGTAATAATAATAATAGCATAGTGCAATAATGATAATAATAATAATAATAATAAAAATAATAAAAAGCATAACATTATTTCCTGTTGCTGTTAATAATGATCAATTTGAAAGTCTTCATGCAGTGCGCGTGTTCATTCCAATGACAACTACAACATCATTCTTCTGACGACAACAACAACGTCATTCTGGTGGTGATAACAACAACAACAACAACAACAACGTCATTCTGGTGACAACAACAACAATTAATTCTGGTGACAACAACAACAATTAATTCTGGTGACAACAACAACGTCATTCTGATGTCAACAGACACATCAATCTGATGACATTTGGTGATATCATCGTCATCATTTGGTGACTTAAATTGTTATGCCATCAAGTTGGATTGCAACGAAATGATTTTAAATTATAAAAATAATATCATCGCTGTATAAAAAAAATATAATCAAACTTTCAGCTACTTACTTTTAGATAATTCAAGACTCCAAACAACTTTTTATATATTTGCAAAAAAATTGTTTAAAAAACAAATTCACACAAAAAACTTACAACAAATTTATTTTGAAATGTCATTAGATTAGAACTAAAAAGATCCATTAAACAATTTCATTTTCCAATTCGTGATAAGTCCAAATGATAGTATTGTGTCGGCCGCCCTTTTTGTAATAATACACTTTTATTGCTGATGTCACGTAATTGCTACATTGCTAATGTCGTCACATCATTGCTTAATGTTATTGTTGTATTATTAATGTAATGTTATTATTGTTGTAATGTTATTATTGTTGTAATGTTATTATTGTTGTAATGTTATCATTGTAATGTTAATGTTTCTGCAAACAGCGTACAAAGCGTTTGTTTTCGTAACCATAATTTAGAGTAAATTAAAACTTCAAACGTTTTTAGATGATATCTGTACGTACGTGCTTGTACAACACCCAGCCCGCGTTATAAACTGTTATGCACTGTTACTAACTACTAACAATTGCTACGTTGTTTTTAAAAATAAACATTTCATATACAAATAAACACACATACATTATAGTAAAAATAAACACACATACATTGTAACTCTCCGAAACGCACACACACGTACACACACGCACACACACACACACACACTACACACACACAAAGAAAGACATACACACAAAAACACATACACACGCACATGTATGCTAATATTTTTAAATTATTCCAAGACAAAAGTGAAAATAGATGTGTCTTTTGTCGGCTTTGACACAAGCCGGCAAAAGTGAACCTTTTGAAAGAAAACAAATGCAACCATCCATCGTACAAAAATGTTATCATCTTTTTTCTTAGTCTCATCCCTTCTGTTTAATGG